AGCTTTCTGTCCAAATTTCTTGGATGAGGAGTAATCACTATTTACCCTATTTACATACTGACTGTTCTGCTCATCTTTGTCGTTATGTTTTGTGCCCTTCAGCCTTCATCAAGTATATATCGACATGAGTAACCTATAGGGAATTGAACACTTTATTTAATCTGCTGGGGTTGACTGTTCCTGTCTCATATACATCTCATCTAGTTCTTATTTTTAGTACTGCTCTGTTATTGCTCGCTTTGTTTCCACTGAGTCGAAGTACACAGTACCCGGCTAAGAGATTGAACTCACAATAACTATATCCCATGGAACACTAGCCTAGTGGATTAAAGTGTTGGTTTGTGAATTTGATGATATGTGAGTTCAATCCCTGGACTGAGCAATGTGTACTTGAACTCGGTGGAAATAGGGCGAACAATAACTGTGCAGTATTAAAATAAGAAATAGATGAGATATCTCTAAACATTAGTAGTGGAACACAGACGATATAAGACCATAGATTTAACAATGAATTTAGTTCAGCATTCCCTGGAGGTTACCCAGATTTATATATGCCTAATGAAGACCAAGACTTGATAAAAATAAAGATAAGGACAATAGTCTGCATGTAAATAGTGTAAGCTGTTGATTTTGTGTATATATTTTTTTCTTGCCAGATTTTGACATGTCAGGAGTTGCAGTCTCTGTATCATGGCTCCCCTTAAGGTTCTTGGCTTTACTTTGAAGGAAAGCTTTCTTGGACAGGCTCTCAAGTAGACTGCCCCCTAGTAAGGGAAAGGATCTTTGTTTGATTTTTATTGAATGAAGAGTTTGGATGATTTGTCTGCAGTTGCAGATTTGGTACTAGGAATGATGCCACAAGCAGTATCAGACATATTCTCCTTTCTGGAGCTATTAGTACAGCTATATTCTAAGATTTCTATGTTAATCTTCTTTAAAAATAATCTTTAGCAGCTATGTCCCTATGTAGTGCTGGACAGGAACTTGCAAGTTCTTTGGCCTTTCAATGATATTAATCAGATCAAAATTTTGGTAATACTTTCTTCTTGTCTTCTGGGAACATGTCAGGAAATCTTTTGGCATTTTCCTCTTGTTTCTTGTGTAATAAATTCATGTTAACTGCAATGATTTGAGGTAACAACTGAACCACTAAAACAATTCCACAGAACAGACTCAGGCTAATTAATATCTTAAATATTTAAATCATTATTTTCAGCAATATGAGTTCTGCCACAAAAAAGGTTTTGGGTGAATTACTGGTCGATTTGTTTTTTATGGATTATCAACAATTTGCAGATTATTTAAAGCCTTAAAAGATTTATACATGGTAAGAATTTGGGGGAGACAATAATCATTTCTACTAATTAACCCATAGCTGGGCCCCAATGGCATTAGCACATTAGTGAATATAACAAACTCGACTGGAATTGGAACTCATCTCTCCAATTTCTAATTCCAAGACATTATTGATTACATCATCCACACATCTAAGCTGGTATTCCCACACTGTCACCCATCCAAACTTGACATTGCTTAACTTTGGTGATCATACAAGATGCATTGTTTTGATATGGTTGTAAGCCTTGGGTAAATTAAACTTCACTTGTAATTTTTATGAAACAGTTATAATAATAATTATAGTTAAATAATATTGATAATTATGTATGAAAGAGTTAAGTGAAAAAATTGATTGATGTTAGTGCTATATTACAGTTGCTACTTGGCTTTTTGTCTGAAGCTATTTGGTCTCATGACAAAAAAGAGATGAAATTAAATTTTGATATGATGGATTGCACCATGATTTATTCAAATTTCTATCTTCACTATGTTTTATCATTTTTCAAATGTTCTTTCTTCAACCTTTCCCAAGTGTATTTATGCTGTAGTTGATAAAAAAGAACAACAGATACAAAGATAATATACTGAATAATTCAAGGAAAGATAATAACAAAAAAGGGTAATGATTATCTTCAAAGCTGTCTAATGACCAGTGGATCCTTTTAGTGCTATTTGCAGACAAGTACAGGACGCTGAGTCCAAATGTAAAATAACAATACAATGGACTCACACAGTACAGCTAAGTGGACATTTTTTGCTTTTAGCTCCCTGAATGATTTTCATTCTAATTATGGAAGTGTATTAATGTTATTTGTACTTAAGAGGAAGAAACAAATCTTTCATTCTTTTAATTTTAAAAAATAGGAGTTTAAGGAGAGTAGTGAAAAGCCAAAATTTCCCTGAAGAGCTTAAATTTTTTTGTTTAAACCATTTAGAATTCCTGAGTGGGGGGTTCTGGCTAGCAGAAAAAATAGATTCAACACCCACAAAACAGAAATAGAGGTCTAGATCATGATTTTCTGATAAATACAAGGAACTGATACTTAGTACACAGTATATAGTGCCAAAAGTGGATAATAATCGATTTAGTATATGAAGAAAAGTCTGTTTTAAACAACTTCCCAGGAACAATTTTATTACATTTCAAAGATTAAAATTGTTTTAATATGTAGGAACTTAAAAAAGAAAGAAAAATTGTCTAGTATGTTTTTTGCTAGCGTTATTCAGAGATGGGGGTCAGAAACAAAAAAAGCAGACAAAATATAACAAATAATTGTGTTAATTTGACTGAATTTGTGGTGTAGGGCCTCATATAAGACATTTTTTAAAAAGAGTGTCAAGTTAAACCTGTCGGCCACTTATAACAACAGTTTCAACAAGATAAAAAAAAATAACTTTCCTAACAAAAAAAGGCAGCAAAAGCAAAGCTTGAGAACTGATAATCTAAAAAATTCAAATGATCCTAACTTGGCAAATACTTGGAATTAGGACAAATGTAGACCAGATCTGAAATTCTGAGACTGTCTATTTTCAAACTAGACATAGTATATATCACTTAGGAAATGTTTAAAAAATACTAGATGTCTGCTTGTGTACTCACTGTGCAGTACTTGTCAATTTCTGCTGATGAGCATTTATCAGAGACCCATCTACTTTTTGGGGTTTTATCAATTCACTTTAAGTAAGCTGATAAGGTCACTAAGATGCAAAGGGCTACTGGGAGTGAAAGAGAATTAAAAGACTTTAGAAGGAACTGGAAACACAAAGCAATAAACCTCTACTCCTTTTCAAAAGACCAGAGCAGACTGTGAACCAGATGATAGGCAACCCTATCTATTCCTATTAAAGAGAAAAAATAATTAGTAAATAAAATTTCAGAGTTTAAATGGAGATGTTAGAAGTATATAGTTGAAGTAGACTTTAGAATGAACTGGAAACCTAATTCTAATCAGGAAACAAGGGATAAAACTACTCCTTTTCAAAAGACAAACCTATCATACAAACCTATCTACTCCTATTAGTGAAATAAGAGCACAGTGTTGACTGAAACACTGATGTAGGGGTTAGATATTATTGAGGAGTATTGCGGAATTTTGCTTCCTTTTACTTTGGGATCTTACCTTTTGGAGACTGATTTTCAAACTCTGATGCTTTGTTAGACCAAAGAGTTATAGCTGTCAATTCAACAAGAATAGATTTGATTTTTTGACATACCAACATTTACATGGGTCAAAAAACCTAGGTACTGCTATCAATAGTGAAGCCACTTATCAAAACAGTTGGTATGTTAGTGTATAATAAATTACATAAAATGTAAGGGAGAAAAGGATTATTTCAGTGCAAAATCCAATGAACAAAAGTGGAGTTCAAAGTATGACTGAAATTAATTGGAAGAAACATGAAATAGTTTTTCATGTTTAAGTCAATAGAGTGTAAGCATTTTAATAATTCTAGACGACATGAAAACCCCACAAAAACAAAACATACAAAAGAAAGTATTTGTCATTTTTCCCTTTACTTTTAAGTATTGCTTTGTAAGCAATGAGTAAATGTAATCAACTAGTTAACAAGTCAAATATTGTTTCTTTCAATTATAAATACAATTGTAGCACATGAATTCCCTATATAAGGGTCACATAGTAATCCAACAAATTTATATATATATGTTACTATTTCACAGTCAAATATATAAAGCACGGAGGAGTAATGGATAGCAGCTCAGATTAAGGAACTGGAGAACAGAGTTTGAATTCCAGTTGAGTTCATTACATTCATTTATATGCTAATACCCTTGAGAAAGTTATGAATCCATCTCTTCTACATCTTCCACCCAGCTATGAGTAAATAGCAGGACAGACTGGGTCCTATAGCCTTGGTTGGCAATCACTCTAGGAGGAAAGAAACTGAATTGAGACCAGCCTGGTGAGGGTTGAGCGCCATCAGGCTGCATTGCTTAGGAGAAGATTTTTTTGATAGTTGTGAACATTCTGTTATACAAGTGGTACTACAACTTGATCAAGGTGTCTTAAACAGGCAAAGGTGTTTGATTAAAAAGAAAAAAAAAAAAAGCACATTTCATGTAAGTAAACATTCATCCTTTAAGGAACCTTTTAACAGCTCTAACAAATCTCCATTCAAAATGAAGCTGCTCTCTCTCACACTCTCTGGATTTGAACAAAAACATATATAGAAATGGAAGATGTGTGTATGTAGGATGGGGAATACAATTTTACTCCCTCTATAACAATTAACTTTAAAAATGTGTTTCTCCTCAATTCAACATTATAAAAAACTTTCAATAAACTTGGTATGTACTTGCCACAACCATGGAATGTAAATATTGTTGAGCTAAGAAGAATAACATGATAGGAATATTTTTCAGAAGGTAAAGTAAACAGATAAGTAATTATTCAAAATACAAGTTTTTGTGAATTATTAAAATATGCAGATGACCATCTTTGGTACAGTTCCTAAATTGTAAAAGAGCAATAGAAAGAATTAAAGAAACCATCTTGTACATTTGTTTGTCATGTATCATTTCTTTTAAAGCATTGTTTTTCACTTCATACCCTCCCCAATTGCATGAGCTTGCAGCCACACCCATGTCTACAATGATTTCCCTAACACTGTTCACCTTTTGTTCATTGGACAAATAGGTTTAC